ATAATAATAATGATAGCTCATATTTATATAGTATTTTAAAGTTTGTGAAGTATTTTATATGTCATATATATATATACATATATATATACATATATATATATATATGTATATATATATATGTATATATATATTACTTGGTCCTTACAACAATCCTAGAGGTAGATGTTATTGTCCCTGTTTTATAGTTGAGGAAACTGAGGTAGACAGCAGGTAAATGATTTGCCAGGGTCTGAGACTGGATTTGAACTTAAGTCTTTCTGACTCCAGGTTCAACACTCTACCTAGCTGCCCCCATAAAGGCATAAAAATATGGGGCATTTATTTCCCATTTGTCATAATCTGACTTCTACTGTTTCTGCTTTTAGTATAAGGCCATTCTCAGATACAAGGCTATCTGTATCAGTACCAGTGACAGATCTCCACTTTCCAGTCATACTGCCTCTCTGGGGATTATGGCTTGCCAAGGGCAAAGCCAGCCATAGACAAAATGGTGAAATATTATAACAGAGCAGTAGGTTTGGGTACATGACTTTCTATCTCTGCTCTCCTTCCTTTTCCCCTATCACCTTCCTTTAAAGTTTTCAAGATTGGGATATTAAAATTACATTACTCAAATGTGTGCTTTTTTCCTTATTTCACCAGCAGTATAGACCAATGTATGTCTAGTGTTTCTTCATTTGTGATAGAAAGGATAGACTTTTCTGACCATAACTGCTCTGTATGGAATTCAGGAAAGAAAGAACTTTGAATGCTTGAGTACAGCTTTGTGGCAAATCTCTGACACATCCTGTTTCTTTTAATAATTATGTGGTCACATCTGTTGCCTTTGGCTTTCTGATGATCTGTGCCCCAAAACTTGTGAATATAACCAGATTTTTGCCAGGACTAGATGTTTGCAACATATTTTCTGTATTTTGGCTAGCTCTTCTTTCCTGATTACGGAATTAGGAAAAAGTCTTCCTAGAAATAGTCAGATGTCTTCTTTAAAATAATTTCACATTTTTATGATCTCACTTTTAACTTTGAGAAAATTCCACCTTTCCCATGGGGAAGGCATGGGGTGAGGATCATGAACGGAGAGATGCAATTTTTGCTGCTTTCATTCTCTTATATTAAATCTCTTTATAGTTACTCTTTCTAAAATGTTTTTTTTAATCCTAATTGTTGTGTACATGTAAATAGGCTTAAGAGATCCTAATTACAAAATGAATGTTTTTGCACATAGGGACCTTGCATTCTAAAAGAGACATACATTTAAAAACCATGCATTTTTGTTACATTTAATTTGACATTTATGGCTGTGACTTAATATGATTAGCTGTATACTTTGGGGGCTAGATTGGATCCCCCAAGAAGTGACACAAATTTAGGATAAAATGGAAACAAATTATATAAACATTGGTCTGATTTTTAATTTTTTGTTATCATGAACCTAACAAAAATATATACCAACCTGAACATCTCCGTATATAATGAGGAACAAGAAAACAAGATTCCGTAGGGAACTATAAATCTCTGTTATGTATAGTTTGCAGTTATTTTCAGATATGTAATAAATTTAACAGTTTCAAAACTGTCCCACTTATCTTTGAACTTCCTTATGTTTATCTAATGCATTAAAAAAACTTCAATGATGCTTTTCTTTTTTTGGGGGGGGTCATCGATCACTATCCTCCTTTTCCCTCCAGTTCTCCCCTAAATTAAAAAAAAACATCTCTTATAACAAGCTTAATTAAGTAAAACAGATTTCCTCTTTAGTTGTCAATCCATCAACTCTCTAGGGTCCAGTTATATAACATTTTTTAAACTTAAACTTCGATTATGCCTAATTGGACATATGCTTTCATAGTTTTAGAGCCGGAAGGGTCTTTGAAGGCCATCTTGTTTAAACCTCCTTATTTTACAAAGAAGGAAACTAAGGCCAAGGAGTTAAGTGACTTGTTCAAGTCACACAGGGATTGACAGCTGAGATTCAAGCCCAGGTTCTCTGACTCCAAAGCCAGCCCTCCTTGCACTGACTTCATGGATACATAGAGGCCCAGGATGAAAGATCTGGGGAAGCTGGAAGTGGGTTGGGGTGCTCTTGATTTCTCAGTCCTGTAGTCCTATACTGGGTCTGGTCCACTTTATCTGGCTAAGGCAGAATCTTGTAATCTTGGCTCATGGGTGGTGACCGCTGCCCTGGTGGCTCGTGGGAATTGCAGCAGGTGGGGTAATACCATCTGGGCTGAAAGTAGGCAGTAGTACAGCTGCATGGGTGTTAATTGGGATTGCAGCCTGTCAGGTGGGGTGGCAGCTCCCCAAATACTGGAGGATTGAAATACCACTTGTGGGATTGTCTAATTTTGTAGCTCTTTCCTTTGTCTTTCATCTTCCCTTTTCTCACTCCAGCCTTTAATTTTCACTCTTTTTAAAAATTAATTTATTTAAAATTTAGATATTAAAACTTAAATACACAATAAGAAAAGAAAAAAAAGCATTGCCATGTGTGCAGCAGAATCTAAGAGAGGATTCAAAATATATAGCAGTAAATTTCCATTTCAAGAAAGCCTATATAATAAATACTACACATTGTATTCAGAGCTGTCCATCTTTTCTTTGCTTCTTTGTAAGTTTTCTTTTGTTCTCTGCTGTGCACTTTTTACTTTGTTTTTTCCCCCATTCCCCAAGAAGGCTACAATTGTGTCTATACATACATATGCCTATATGTAAAATACATACATGCACATACCCATATATACATATATATATACCTGTACAAACACATATATATACCTATACATACACTTATACATACATGCATATACTTAGATAACTATAATCATACTCATCTATAGACATATAATTCATATGTATCTATGTAAGACCATGCTATACTTGTTTCTCGTCTGTTTCTCTGAGGATGGAGATAACATCTTCCTTCATGAGTCCAAGTCTTTCCATGTTTTTCTAAGTCCACCAACACATCATTTCCTATACCACAGCCATATTCCAACCTTATACTCTCTAGTTATTTTAAATGGTCTAAAACAATATTGATTAATATAGCTAACATATGGTATAGGTTCTCTATTTTTCTCTTTTGATTAAATCTATTTTAGCTTTAACTTTATCTGAGATCATAATTACTACTCCTGCTTTTTTTCCTAATAAATTCTACTTCTGATCTTTATTTTATATTTGTGTGCATGTCTCATTTCCTATCCCTCCTGACTCCTCTATTTTATTTCTACCCATTACCTTGCCCTCCTACTTAACCTACCTCCCCTCCAAAGCTCCCTTCCTTATCCTCTCCCCTCAACCCTCCCTTACCTTGTTTCTATCTGAATTTAGAAGACTTTATAGCCTTCCAGATATATTTGTTCTTCCCTCTTTTTCCCATTCCCTTTAATCTAGACACCCTTCTATACTTCTCCCTGCAATTTTCACTCTTAATAAAGATTGTAAAGCAGCATTCCCCTGATTTTTCTCTCCCCTGGAGCCACAGTAGCATTTGCCCTGATGTTGGAAGGGAATAGAACCTGGAGCCCAAACATTCCTGTCTTTTCTACCTACACTCTTAGTCTGTAACTGATCTGCTTTTCTCCCTACCCGTAACCTGTCCCATTAATCCTCTAGATAAATGCATGCATGCCAAGTAGGAATCACAGAAACCAAATTATCTTGTTTGCAAAGACTTTCCCATTGACTTTTACCTACCTGGGGTTGTTACTTAGCTGTTGGTAGTAGTTATCTAGTCAATCCAGATTTTTTAGTTCGGTTTATTCTATTCTAGGAAAAGGGGTGACTGTGTCTTTCAGTGCTAGAGAGAAAAGTTGCTTTCTAACTTATTTTTGTCAACCCAGACTCATTCTGGGTAGTAGGGATAGCTCAGAACTGCTGTAATTAGAGCACACACCAAAGTAGCAAAGATTGTGTATATCATGAAACATTTAAGCTCAGAGATCTCTCATGGTTCCCTTCCTTATGCAGCAGTGTTAAACTTCCCTGTGCTGCAGAGACAATGTTTCTCAGCCCACATATTTGCAGTTAATGAGTATTACAAGAGAGGAGGATTCAAGTAGATTATTTCAAGGGTTATAACAGTCTAGGGGTACCTGCCCCATGGAATCAGCTGATGAAGGTAAAAAATGACAGTAGGGAAGCATAAGAAAGCCTTTTCCTTTCCTTTCTTTCATGCTTCTTTGCTGTAAATTTTGTAAGTTCAGGTCTCCTAAAGGGATTCCATCCCTGCTTTTTTTCAAGCTGCAACTTTTTATCCTCTGACTCTTTCTGGACCCTCATCTACGTAACTTTAACTAGATTTGTCAAATTGTACCAGCTTCCAATATCAAATATGAGACCATGATGGAAGCTGTCATAGTAAGAATAATTATAAGACTTTGAACTTAAAACAAACTCTCATTGTTTTCCAGAGGGACTAATTAAACTTGCATTGTTATGCAAACATTGATTAAAGACAGAAAAAAAAAAGATGAGAAATTTTGTGAAGAAAAATGATCAGAGCATGAAATCCTAGAGTGGCAAAGCCAAAATGAAGAAACATTATCATGAGAGCTCCTTTTAAAGCTCTTTTATTTTTCTTTTCTAATTTGCCTTTGCATACATGGTTTTGTCAGAGATGAGAAGTGATGAATCTACAAGAGTTGTCTCTTGTTCCTAGGACTCTAATATTTTCCCCCTCAACTCTTGTTCATTTTCTTTTGTGCTTTCATTTTTTTCCTACTATTTTCTTTAAATACCTTCAATTATGGACAAGTAATTGCTTAGATAACTGATAAACTCTAAGATTAATTTAAATTGTTTGCTTCTAAAAACAGAATATTTGTAAATTTTTTTACTTTCCTGTATGAGTTGCTTTGTTTATGTATTTCTTTCCAAGTTTAATTTTTAATTCCGTATGACCTTTAAGTTTTAGTTGAAATATGGACCATAAATGAACGTACATCATACTTCTAATGACATGATGTTTAACTAAAGTTCAATTTTTCTTTTTAAAGGAATCAGCAGGAGGGGATCTTCAGTCTCCTTTAACACCAGAAAGTATTAATGGGACAGATGATGAAAGAACTCATGAAGTGACACAAAACTCAGAACCAAGGGCTGAACCAACCCAGAATGCATTGCCATTTTCACATAGGTACAGATTCAATTCAAGCATCATGATTAAGTAACAAATGTGTGGAGTGCTTTTACCTTGCATACGTTTAATAAGGTATAATAACACTGAATGCAAATTCCATGTTGGGTCTCTTTTTCTTTTTTCCAAAAGGTACAGTTTCTATTTACCCACAAATGAAATACCATAAAAGCTTACTAATTTGGAATTTACAATCATTCAGCTGGGTTGAGCTAAAGTTTACTTTTGTACTATCTATGCAGAAAAGATTTGCTGAACAAATTAATATAAGATTTCAGTAAAACAGTGAATAAGATTGTGATTCTTAGTTTTTTAACAAGGTGCCCAAAGGGCCCTTCTTTGATTAGCCTAGTTCAGGTTTTACTATATGTACTTAAGAGACACAACTATCTTTCTTGAAAACAAAATGATAATTGTCTGGTCTTTCCAGATTTGAATTAATGAGGATTTATAGCATTGTTTTCAGAAGTGGTTTTCATAGAGGAAATAAACAAGCTAGTTGAGATTTGAGAAGTTATATAGTGATTTTTTTGTCTATTTCATTCTAGAGATTCTTTTAACAAGAAATAATATTGAAATACCTTTTTAAGTGAAATGAGTGCTTTTAAAAATATCAGATCAATTTTTACTTTTGTACCAAAACAATAAGTCTGACCAGATGTGGTAGGTGGTTTTAGGAGAGTTACAGAACTTCTGTGAAGTTAATATGAAGTAGACACTTGGATTATCTCAGTTTTAAGGAAGCACTTCTCTCACTGAAACCTTAAGAGATAACATATTTAAAATTCATAGAAATGGTATAAAAGTGTTTTGCTTTGTTCTTCATTAGTCCTTTTGAGGGCATTAAAATTGAATTCTTATCTATGGTATTAAGACTTTGGTTTGCATGCTATGGAATGGGCTAGACACGAAAATAAAATATTCTGAATGAAAGCTTTTTACAAATTGCATTTTTTGAAGTTTAGGTTGATTAAATTGGAATTAGAACAACATAGGACCAGCCCCATTGTCTTGCCCAGCTTCTGTGTAGCTCAGTCTTAAAGTAATTCTTAATCTGGACCAGAGGAAGGAAAGTCTTAAGCTTTTTTAGTCAGAATCATATGTCTTGGATACCGAAGTCTTTTCTAAGAAGTAGTTAAATACCTATTAGATTTGGGGGGAAAACTGATATTACATTTTATTATTCACAATGTTAAGAATTTTGCTTAATGCAAAAAATATATTTGAGTGGTTGTATATTTTTATATTTTGAACTGTTCTCAGTAAACAACTTTATATCAGAACAATTGTGTTGCATGAAAAAAAGAGATGTTTCTCTGTTGATTTCTACTGACTGTCTCTATGTTTAACTTGTCACATGATGTTTTTGAATATTCAATTGCAAGTGAACAAAAGAGAGACTTAGTATTTAAGAGGGCTGGACTCAACATTTGAGTGGGCTGTTGTTTTTTTTTTTGTTTTTGTTTTTGTATAAAAGACATTAATTGGGATGATTGGGAAAGGAAAATCCCACATCCTCTTACGTGTGGTTCTTAAAGTTCTTGCCAGCCTTGCCCATGGGATGGTTGACTTAGCTGCCCTAAACATAGTTAAGTATTAGCTTTCTTTGACTGTCATTTAAATGAGCTGTGTGAATTAACTTGTAGCATTTCAAAGCTAAAAATTTTGTCAGCAATTGCAAATTCTACCTGGCATTTATTTACTTTCAGGTACCTCTAGTTTTGGAAACATTATTAGTGTTCTACCTAGGTTCCATTTTTGATGTTGCCAGTTAGAATTGGTCTTTTACTAGTGACATTTTATATGCCAGGGTGTCTCACTAGTGTATAGTCACCCTTTCTTTAATGTACCACTGTCTTAACTAGGAGCAGCTGCAGTTCAGTCATGAATGTGTTATCCTGCTCACAGGAACCACTTAATTGTTTTCAGCCCCAACATTGTTTATATTTCTGCCATGTTTGATTTTGAATGTCCAACTTAAATGGAAATAGCTTGGCTGTTTGCAGATATAGAAGGGTTAGAGTTAAACGCTGATATTTATTTTCCCTAAAAATCTTTTGTAAAAAAAATTCAGTGTCTTGGTAAAGCATGGTAGATGTGAAACCTCTCACTTCAGGGAGCATTTAATATTAAGGGGCCACATTTGATTATGCTACTTAAATGTGTAGCACAAATAGTTTTAATGTTCTCTTACTGTCTTTCCAAGTATGTCTTTTACAAGACATGATCTTTGATTTTGTTTTGATATGAGTTACAATAGCTGTACAAAAAAGGAATTTTTTTTTTGCTTTAAAGTCTAGAAAAATTAGATGACAATATTTTTGCATAGATGTTTTGTTTCTTACAGCTGGTATTATCATAGAACAAGATAGAGCTAGAAGGGACCTTAGAGGTGGATTTCAAAGTCTTAATTTTAACAAATGAGGAAACTGAGGTCATACAATTAGTACCAAACTTAGGACTAGAATAAAAAACCTAAAAAGCAAAAAAACGCCTTATGTAGTGTATAATATCCAACCTCAGTAATCAATTCTGATTTTTTTAAAATGCTGACTGGTTTGAATTTTGCTTCTTTTCTCTGTCCTGACCCATACATGACAGACACATACTGATTGGATGACCTTGAACAAGTTGCTTAACTTGTAAACCTTCTAGGCAAATTTCTAATACAAAAACATTGTAGAGAAGTTGCTGACCTGTTAGTAGAGGTAGTTTCTTTATCTGAGAGTGTCCTACACCGATGAAATTACCTTTTGGAGAGGGGGATGGCCCCAAGAATCTAAGCAATTCCACATGGAATTCCATTCCATCTAAATTTCTAATCTTTTTCAAAACAACTCTTCATTTGAAAGGTTGATTACCTTTGAGTTTAAAACAACTCTTCATTTGAAAGGTTGATTACCTTTGAGTTTAAGCTGCATCGTTTGGCTTGCTCATCAAAGAGAATCTTAACTAATTTGTTACTCATTCTCTCCCGTAAGACTTCAGTCCGACTGCCTTTGCCTTGGATAACATATAAGAACAGGGATGTATGTTCTTGGTTCTCTATCATCTGAGCAATTGTTCACCTCACAAGTATTATGCACAAGGAAATTTTGATTTTACTAACTGAGTAAGCTAAACAATCCTTGAGATAAGAAATTGTGTCCTAATTTCTAGCAGATGTTTCTTTACCTGTGAGCATGTTCTGAAGCTATGAGGAAAACCTCCTATTTTGAAAGATTTCCAAACAGAGGAGGATTTTTAGGTTTGAAGTCACTTTTTGACACTATGGAAGTTATTATAAAAATTTTGTGGTGAACTTAGCTGTCATCTTTCACTTTTTTGTGCATTAACATATAATGTCATTATTTCCATTTAATTTGTTCAGTGCAGTTTTATGATCCTCAAATATACAGTATTATAGATTGAAAAGATGCTGTCATGTAGCATTTCAAGAATTTGGGACAAACTTACTAGTATATATTCTGGAAGCTATTTTTGTATTGATAGTTTTAATAAGAATTTGATTAATTTCCTTAGTTTCAGAGGTTCTTTTAACCCTGCTTATATTAATTTTTAAGATGTAAACAGTATGCATTCACATGGTGCTGTTAATTTTATGCATTTTGTTGGTGCTGCATGTGGTATTCTGTAAGCAGAATAATAACTTTCTGCTAGTTCATGTTTCCTACAGTTTTTGTTAAAGGAGGCACACAGAAACTTCTTTTCTAGTAGACTGATTTTGCTTTAGTTCTATGCAATGACAATTTTACTAACAGTGGATGGTTTTCATTCCGCTCAAAATTCTAGTTAATTTTTAGGAGGTTCATTAATTTCGCATTTATTGGACTTTGAAAGGTCTAATTCCTTTGCAACTGGATTACTTACTGGATTACTTACTTTAAATATTTTTGTGACAAGAATTCTTAATTTAATTTTCATTTGGGGCAATTTAAAATAAAAATCTTACTGTGAATGCCATACACTCTGCTACCTAAGATTATTATTAAATATAATCCTGTTGTTCTGACTTAAACAAGGAGTGGAGGAATGGTTAGTGGGAAGCTCTGTTGTTGTTAGTTTTTTTTCTATAATTTTTTTCTATAATTATGACCCAATTTCCTTATTTTTGCTGTTAATAAATGGGAGGCAGTTTCTGCACTGAGACATGACAACACTCAACACACCCTTTGCCATGATACTCATACTGCAACAGAAATGAATAAACTAGCAGTATATGAACTGTGACATTTCATTAAGAAGTTTTTGTCATTAAGATTTAATTATAGATTATTTATAACCAAAGCTATAGAGTTCATAACAGAGAATGACAAAGAATTATAAATGAGTTCAAAAAATAATTATTTTCTACCAAGCACCTCCACCAACTATTACAATGACTAGGGTCTCTGTTCATCTCAAATCATCAAATTAAATCTCAAATCAAGCTGAGAGAGCATTGCCATCAGCTGTGATAGTTCTGAACTTAACCTACATCTGTCACCATCCCCAAAGAAGCATTTAGTCAGCATTCTTTGTAGGACTGTGCAAAGTCGGTTAAAGCCTCTGGCCCTTGGGAGCTCATAGGCTGATGGGGGAGTTTTATAAAATCTAAATTAAGAAGCAGTGAGAGTAAAAAGACCTTAATCCTGTTAGTTTTCCAATAAAGCATTTCATTTTAAAAACTTATTTTGTACCGACTTTGATTCATTTTTTTAGACTTGTAAAAGGCTTTGAGTGATGAAGTATTAATATCTATTAAAATATTCAGTGGGGCAGTAGGTAGCACTGTAGCATATAGAACACCAGGCCAGGAGTCAGGAAGACTCATCTTTCTGAGTTCAAATCTGGCCTCAGACACTTACTAGTTGTGTGACTCTAGACAAGTCACTTAACCCTATGTGCCTCAATTTCTTCATCTGTAAAATGAGCTGGAGAAGGGAATGGCAAACCACTCCAGTATCTTTGCCAAGAACACAACAAATAGGATCACAAAGAATGAAACATGACAGAGCAAC